TATTTCCTGAACAGCAGCGTTTCCTTCAGTTCATTAATATTCGCTCAGTTTCATCATTAAACTCGTCTGAAGGATTTTTGTGTATCTACAGGCTTTGACCACAAGATGGCGGTAGAGAGTGACTCTGGTAAAGACAGAAAAAGAATCTTTTATTTATTACAGTTGTCTCGTATTTGTAAAGTTATCCACAGGATTTTAATTAAATGTAGATTTTTTTTCATTTAATTCCTAGAGAGACTGAATATAAATGTCATATAAAATCAACATGACAAATTATAAAGTTAAATTTCTTTGTGACATGACAAGTTCAGAATAAATGATTGTTTTCAAACTTACAATTGGGGTCTATTGATTACATTGATTTTAAAGGAGACGGCTCTCATTCAGGTTTTTATCCAAAGTTTCTGATGTTTATCCATTTTCACCATGAATCAGGGGAAAGGTAACAGCTGCAGGTGAAACATTTTGAAACAAACAGAATGAACTAGAAAACCAAGATTCACCAACGCTGGTGGCAATAACAGTAAGAATAATAACATTATTGCTAAAGTGGTCACATGCAGTTTTTTATTTATAAAAAATATTTAAAATCATGTATGTTATTTTTTCCACTTGACAACTGTTTTGGTCTTTAAGATTAAATTTTAGTTTGTGGTTGTAATGTGACAAAATATGCAAGGTATATGAATAGTTTTGTAAGCCACCTGTAAACCCACTGACCTTTTTAGTATTTTGATTTATATTTTATGTGTAGTTGACAAAGACTGAGGGAAATTATGAGTGGCAGATCGTATTTAATTAAAGATTTAAGGGAAACTGGAATTGCTTTTATCAACTTGTTGTAAATCTTCTATTACTTTTCAAGCAAAATTATTAACATTTATGAAATGTTTATAGATCTAGAAACAAACCGGAAGCCTTAATCTTTCTGGTGCGTCACTAAAAGATCACCACTAGAGAAATCAGGCCACAAAACCACCTGCAGTCTATTCCTCCTCCCGGCAGGGGGCGCTACAGCAGCGCTGCTTCCAGCCAGAACTCCTGCTAACAATGGCGGCCTCCTCGGAGTTGCAGCTGGACCAACTCCCCTCGGACCCGCTGCTCCACGTCCTGTCCTACCTGAGCTTCAGAGACCTGGTCCAGTAGGTATCAGCTTCAAGCAGACCGGAAGTGATAAGCGGACGTTGTTTTCCAGCTACAGCATGCTAGCGGCTAACACGGCTAGTTGACGCCAACTAGCTGCTGTTTTTGTTTTATTTCTACGAAAATATGATGCATAAAATTACTGTCACAGCTTTTGGGTGTGGGATGGAAAACTAAAATCAAAGCGTTCATGCCCGGCAGAAGCGATAAAACGAGTTTAAAAGGAAAGATAAAGAAGTTGTTTACAGTTAGCTTCCTGCTAACAGCTGTAGCTTGTGTATTTGGAGGGAACGTGATGAATAAAATACTCCTGGGATGATGCAGGCTGATGTACAGCATATCAGAGAATATATAAATATATAAAGTAACAAGAAATGCACAATTCACTGTAATGTTCCTGCTAACAGCTGATCAACACACAGAACTTCACTAACAGGAAGTAAACAAACCATCACTGGTCAGAAACAAACCAGTTTATCAGACTCATTTGACCTTTTATGCAATATTTTTATGTTGCTAAAAGCAGCTGAAGTTCAATTATCTTTTAAATTCCATGTCCTTTAATGTTAATAAAATACATTTTAAAATGTTTTATATTGTGTCTATGTAAATGTTGATTTCTCAGTGGTAAATAATTAAGTATTTTGTGATCATTTAATTTTTAAAGAATTAATCAGATTAACATTAATCTTATGAGACAGGACACCAGTCCATCACAGCCTTACAGACTCATAACAAGTTACATTTACCATGATGAAACTGCTAATAATAATAATTGAGGATGTGTAAGTTTGTTTTTTTCTGTCGCAGCTGCAGCTTCGTCAGCAAGAGGCTCAGTGATCTGTGCAAACACAACCCACTGTGGAAGCGTCACTGCTGCCAACACTGGCTGCTGACAGAGTAGGTCCACCTTCACTTTCTTCAGTTTCACCCAACAGAAGCCTGAAGTGTGTGTCTGCATGTGTGTGTGTGTGTGTGTGCGCAGTGCGGAGCGGCTGCAGCGCGGCCTCTCTTGGTACGGCCTCTTCAAGCTCTACTTCGCTGATCTGGGTCGCTACATCCGTCACTACGCCGAGCTGAAGAACGCCTGGGAGCAGCTCAAGATTTTCCTGCAGCAGAGATGTCCGCGCATGATTGTTTCCCTTAAAGGTAACCCGACCCGCCGCTGCCCACCGCATGCTCCCCCCACCGCCGTGCTGATCGCTGTCTCTGTTGCAGACGGCGCCACGGAGGCGGAGCTAGACGACATCGAGGCGCAGATCAGCTGTAAGCTGCCAGACGATTACCGTTGCTCCTACCGGATCCACAACGGCCAGAAGCTGGTGATCCCAGGGTGGGTGTCCAACCAGAGCCCCCGCCCCTCTGGTTGGCCCTCCCAGTCTAACCAGTGTGTGTCTCCAGGCTGATGGGCAGCATGTCCCTGTCCAACCACTACCGCTCTGAGGTGCTGCTGGACGTGGAGACGGCGGCCGGCGGCTTCCAGCACAGGAAGGGATGCGGCGCTCGCTGCCGCTCACCTTCTGTTTCCATACCGGCCTCAGCCAGTATGTGGCGCTGGAGGACGCTGAGGGCCGCCGCCAGGGAGAGTGCTTCTACCCCTGCCCTGTCTGTACACTTCCTGTCTGCTGTCCCTTTCACAGTAAAGCGTAGAGACGATTCTGACCGGGTTTGGTTCTGTTTTCCAGGACCAAACAGCTCAGGATCCGTCAGCCATCGACATGTTTCATCACAGGTCAGCGACTCGCCGCTCTGACTGGGAGGCGTCTGGACTTTGTTTATGCTCTCTTCCTGTCTGCAGGATCCAGCTTCCTGCACTGGTCAGCAGCTACGTCAACGTCGTCACAGGAGAGTTTCCCATCATCAAAGAGCAGATCTTCAGGTCAATCTGTGATCCATTCATCTATAAACACTTAATGAATCATTAATATCTGTTATTATGAAGTAAATAAGGGTCAGAAGGTGACGACATGCTAAACAATAGCTTTCTAAATGCTCATTGTTCTTACATGGTAGTTTGAAATGTTTAGTGTAATAAATCCACTTAAAATACAGTTGAACAGTCGTCTTCTCACTCTTAATGGATAATAAACAGTTATTAATGATTTATTTATAAATTAATTAAAGACACTAATGAACTAGTTCTTAACTTCATTGTAAAGCATGAGATGTCAGTAGTTGTTCTGGTAGAAAGTGGACCCGTCTGGTGGTTCTGCAGGTATTCTCATGAGAAGAGCTGCGTTGCCACCACCGGCGACATCTCCGTCTCCGTCTCCACCTCCTTCCTGCCGGAGCTGTCCTCCGTCCACCCGCCGCACTTCTTCTTCACGTACCGCATCAGGTAGCGCCGCCGCAGCTGTGCAGACCCGGGCCGGGTTCTGATGGCGTTCTAACGGGTCGACCCGTCTGCAGGATAGAGATGTCCAGAACCGCCTCGCCGGACGCAGCGTGTCAGCTGGACAGCCGCTACTGGAGGATCACCACCTCCGACGGAAACGTGGAGGAGGTTGCGGGTCCGGGCGTGGTCGGTAAGCCCCGCCCTCCTGCTGCGCCCTGATTGGTCCAGCTGTGGCGCTGAGTGTGTCCTGTGTGTGCAGGAGAGTTCCCGGTCATGACGCCTGGCAAGGTGCACGAGTACGCCAGCTGCACCACCTTCTCCACGCCGTCAGAGTTCATGGAGGGTCACTACACCTTCCACAGACTAGGTGGTGCTCTACTCCTCGCACACACACACACACCCGGTGTGTTGGTCTGATGCCTCTGTCTTTCCAGCCAATAAGGAAGAGGTTTTCCAGGTGGCCATCCCTCGTTTCCACATGGTCTGTCCTCCCTACAGAGAGCCGGAGTCTCCATCTGTAAGACACTCCGTCCCTCATCCCCCCATCCGTCTCCTCTTCCTTCAGTCTGGACCACCCGACACTCTTCTTCTCTGCTTTTATTTCTGTGGACAGAGAGCTTCAACCAGCCACACGGCTCCCTACAGCGACGATGAAGATGATGATGACAGCAGAGGAAGGTTTGGTGCTCTGAGAGGCATCAACATGTCCAGCCTGGACAGCTCGCGGTGTCCCAAGTTCACCTGAGCCGCTAACGGCCGCAGAGCCAGAAACTGAATCACTTGAACTTCCAGTTGCCAAACTGCATCCGAGCAGGACGAGCTCGTTTCTGGTTTGAGTTTTTCTGATTGACCAGATTTAGGTTGAAGAAGAAACGACGCTGCAGAGCTGCAGAGGTTTTTCCTCTCATGTTACAGACCAACCTAAACATTCCTCAACCTGCCAGGCAGCAGACAGGAAGCTTCTTCAGATGTTTCCTGTTGTTGAGAGAACAGCTTTAATCTGCCATCTAGTGGTTAAATCTGGGATTACAGCTTCATTTGTGTTTTTTCTGAGATGTTTGATTTGTTACATTAAGAGTAAAAGTTTGAAGCTCAGTAGAAGTTCCATTTTCAGGTGAGAATCTGGGTCAGGACAGATTAAACTGGTGATTTTGATCTCTGTGATGATTTTGAGGAGCTTTTGGGTTGGAGCTGCTGCTGCTGTGTCTACAAATCGTTCTGCTTGTTTTGGGTGGATGCAGAGTTGAGATTTTCTGTTTGGGTTCAATAAACCAGATTGTGTGAATCTGAGTTCTGCTGCGACTTTACAGTTTAGATGTTTCTGTTCTGCATTAATCTCTAATTTTCTTTGTGTGGGATTGTTGAAGGTTTTCTCCAACAGTTTTTCTTTCTGTTTTGCAGGATTTTATTTTATTTTGCTGCTTCTGTTTATTTCTAATTTTACATTTTACACCAGAAACATTCAGCTCACATCACTCACACAGAGTTTATAGAAAATGGAGATTTTCTAGTTTATTTAGTGTTAGTCATCCTCCTCCTCCTCCAGCTCTCCTCCCTCCATCCTCCTTCCCAGGCTCCTGCGCCTCCATCCTCTGGTCTCCTTCCTGTCCTCTGGCTCTGGCTCCTTCCTCTCCTGCTCTTCCTCCTCCTCCCCCGGCACCTCCTCCTCCTCGCGGGCGCTGCAGCGGCTGCAGTGCCTCCTGAAGCCGCCCAGGACCTCGGAGCGGAACCAGCAGAAGGGGCAGGCGTAGCGGCCGGGCCGGTGGGCGGTGCGGGCGTGCTGCTGCAGCCGGCTGGGCAGGAAGAAGCTCTGGGGGCAGGAGCTGCAGCGGTACGGCCGCTCCACCTCATGGTGGCGCTCTATGTGGGTCAGAACGAAACCTGTAGAGCAGAGGGAGAGGATGAGATGACCCGGTTCTGATCCAGAGGCTGAAACATCTGGAAAATATCCAGGCTGGCTAACCTTTCAGTTTGCTCTTCCAGTTGCAGACAAGGCAGACGAAGCGGTGGGAGACGGAGCCCACCCACCGCGCCGCCACCTCCATCTCCTCCTTCATCAGCTCCTCGCTCATCCCGGCCGTCCTCCTCCTCGGCCCGGCCCGTCTGCAGCTGCCGGCTCTTGGCCAGGGCGTGGCTGGCGTAGCTCTTGGGGATCTCGTGTTTGCGAACGATGTGGCTGACGGAGACGGAGCGCTGCCTGTGGCCAGCCGCAGATCTTACAGTGGAACAGAACGCCGTCGAACGTCAGAACGTACTGCTTCTCTTCCTCCTGGCCTTCTGCTCACGCTGCTCTCCCTCCTCCTTCTTCTCTGTCTCCTCTTCCTCCTCTCTCTTCATCTTTCCCTCCTCTTCCTCCTCACTCTTCATCTTTCCCTCCTCTCTCTTCATCTTTCCCTCCTCTTCCTCACCCTGCTTCCTTTCAGCAGCTGTTTTCTCTCCATCTTCATCCTCACACTTCTTTTTACTTTCAGGTCTCTCCTCCTCTTCATCACTGCTCCTCTTTCTTTTCGAACCCTCCAGCTTTTCTTCATCCTTCTCTCCTCCCACCCTCCTGCTTCCTGTCCTTCCTCTCCTCCTCTTCCTCCCTCTTCCTCCTTCTCCACCATGCAGTGCCGGGCGATGATGTGTTTGTACAGCTTGCTGAAGTCCTTACAGGTGTGGAAGCACTGGGAGCAGTGGAAGAGCCTCGCGCTGCTCTGGTACATCAGGATGTTGCCAAGGCGACCCACTGCCACGTCATCCAGACAGGTGGGGTGTGACGCCGCCAGGTGGGCCAGCTGCTGGGCGTGGCTCTTGGACAGGTGGCCGCAGTGAGGGCAGCGGAGGTGGGCGGCCACCCCGCCGCCCGCCTCGCCCCGGGTGTGGATGAAGACGGACATGGTTGCTAGGAGACGCCAGGAGAGAGGTATTAAAACCACAAACTTTATTATTTAAGCAGCAATGACAAACACAGTTAAAGTCATTATTAGCATCAAATTCATTCATAACTGGAGGTTTTGTTTTCAATGAGCACCTTAAAGAAGCCTCAGTCCATATATGGTTCTTCCTGTAAGTTAAAAGAAGTGATTTGATCATTTTGTAGCTGAATCTCCTCCTTTTTATGGTTTATGTTTATTTTTTCGTTAAATGAATCCCGGTGATGTGACCAGTTATAACGGTACAGCACCAACGGAGCTAAGCTAAGCTAACATGGTAACAGCCGTTAAAACATCCCTTTAACCGCAGTTGTTACCCACTTCTCCGCGCTGCTGCCTCTATTTTTCTGCGTTGGACCAGAGAAACCAGTATAGAAGATTAGTTTTAATTGGTATGAAGACAAACGTCTGTTTTCAACCCACCGAGGGTTATATGATGCTCTGCTCTATTTACTTCCTGCACAGCCAATCACAGAACAGAACTCAAGCATCGCGAGATCTCCGACGTCTCATTCTACTTCTTCTTCTATAGAGTTTATTGGCAGCTTACAATTTTGGTGTTTTACCGCCACCAGCTGGACTGAAGTGTAACCACAGGTTTACCCCTTATCTTCAATACCGTTATTTAATAAAATATAGTTAATATCTTAATTAAATGATCTCTGCTAACTTTGTGGCCTTTTAAATCAATTAAGTGCTTTAATTACACATATACGTGTCTGGGTTTTACTTCTGCATTACTAATTTGGGTTATTACATAATATTACTCGCTTCTTAAATCTTTATGTAACATCAGTCTGAGATTTTTACATAAATATAATTTAAAGCCATGAAATAAAAAAAGAAATCTATTCAAAATTAAACGATTTTATACTTTTAACTTCTTTATTAAAGTTAGAAAATGCAACAAGATTGATCACTTATCGCTGAGAATAGATTAAATATCTCTCAGTCAAACTCAAATGAATAGAAAACTAGATGCCAAAAGCATGAAATCATTTTTAATTGGAAACATTAAAATAATAAAAGCTGTTATGTGATTAGCAGGAAGCATGTTGTCTACAGCAGGATTTCAGTTTTATTTGTGTTTTTTAGTCAGATGAAAAAGTTGCAGCTGGAAACAGATTGTAAAGAATCCAACATTATTTAGAAATAATCATAAAACGAATCCATTATTTTAAAGACAGTTTGTTTCTCTTCTGTAAACTTTCTTTGTGTTGTTTCTGTCTTTGTTTTGCACAAACTGTCAGCAAGATGTTACGAAATGGAGCTTTTATTGTGGAGGGATGGAGGAGGAGAGATAGCCGGAGGGAGGACTTGTGTTTTCATTCTGTCTTTACTTGGATTCACACACCACACACACATACACACACACACACACACACACACCACACACACACACACACACACACACACACACCACACACACACACACACACACACAGAGTGGCTGCAGCTGCACCAGGCAGAATCAACCTGGTTCTGCTTGAACTTTAGTCTGTTGGACTTTTTGTCTGGTTTTCTGTTCGTCTTTTTGATCTTAGTTTTTTCTCCAGAATCTGTTTTTGTTTCTGTTTTTATTTTCCTCTCCAGTTCATCACAGCATTTTATCTTCTTGACAATCATAACTTTTCATCTTTGGTCCTCATGTATGAAGTTAAATGAAAGTTATAAAGTAACTTTGCTGCACAAATGGATCCAGTTTGATACCCAGTAATATGGGAATGTAAACAATGGCATTGCTAACTTTAACTGACCATAAAAACAGAATAAACTCAGTAATATCTCTGTAGAGACAGTTTTCAGTTAAACAGGGTCAGGAAAACTTTCTATGGAGGAAGAATCAGGTCAAAAACTGAAGGAAAGTTTTGTCTATCTCAGCATTTTGAATTTTTAAAGCTGAAACTAAAATCCATGTTTCTGCCTGGATCTTCCAGGAAGCTTTTGGTTGAAGAAAAGCAAAGTTTCTAGTTAACTTAGTGCAGATTTGACTCTTTTAGCTTCTGCAGCAGCGAATGTGCATCCAGTTCCAGGAATCAGCCTTTATTAAATCAGTTGAGTTTATTTGTTCAGTGCAGTTCAGCAACATGGCCGTTCAAACTGCTTTATATAACAAAACACAAAAATAAAAGTAATAAAAATAGAATATAGTCCAGTTAAAATCCTGCTTCCTGTTGACTGCAGGATGTTTTACTGTAATTTCCTGTCTTTATCAGTTCAGTGAAGTTGTGACTGAGTGAAAATGCTCTCGGCTGTAATAAACCAGAGAAAAAAGAGTCTGACTTCCAGAAACTGGATTATTCTGTCAGTAGGCAGAACCGGCGGATGGACCCAATCGAGTTCCAGTCAGTCAATAATTAAACCCATGTGACGTAAATTCGCCTGTTTCTCTGTTTGGTTTCTGTTCTGCTGCTCTGGGAAGATTTAACGTTGGCCTGGAGGAGCGTCTTTCACCTCACTGCTGCTCTGCTTGTTTCCTCTTCAGTGTCATTAAAAATCACCTCACAGATCCTCAGTTTTCAGGTTTGATCCTGATGGATTCTCATGCAGCAGCAGCTCAGTGTTTTGTCTCCGTGTTTTTACATGTTTTTCTGGAGGTTTCTGCTCAGATTTGCTGCTTTTTGAGCTGCAGAGTTGAAGTTTTTCTGCATTTGTGACGATAAACGGAACCTTTCTGGTTAAATTGGTAAATAGAAACCAGATTTTATTGGTAAACATCTTTAATTTTGCTTCTTGTTCCTCTGTTTGTCCATTATTGATGAAACATGATGAGAAAGTTCAGTTTCCTGTAGCAGTCAGTGTTGCAGGACACCCCAGACTGATGGTATCATGCTAACATGCTAACAGCTCAACATTTGTTCCACATTAGCGTCCTGATGACATCATCAGCTGCTAATTCCCATCCTTTGCTTTTGCTGTTTGGGTTTTTACAGGAAGATGCTGGAGTAGGGATATGATCGATACAAGAGAGGTGTGAATACTTTTATGTGTCTTTATTTATATGTATCGTTCTGCTTTAGTTGAATTATTTTGGGGCTAAACTAAACTTGCTTTAGTTGTTTTTAGTTCAGTAACGGTCTGACTAAACGGCTGATGGATGTTTTCAGGGTCTATTTTCAGCGGAGGATTAATCCAGGTTTGAACTTGTCTTCCTGTCAGACGTTGCTTCGATGCTCTTCTTTCCTCCAGAGGAAAGCGGCTGCATGTCAGTGGCTCTGAGCTGCAGCAGATGCTGCCTTCTGGTTTGCGGAGGGTCAGAATGAGGCTGAAACATGTGGAGGTGGAAACTTGTTGACTGTGTCCATCTGCAGACCTGGATAATCCCTGTTAGCAGATTAAACCTGCAGAGCGCAGGCAGAGCGCAGGCAGAGCGGAGGAGACCAAGGTTTGGGATGTTTGGTTTCCTGTGAAGGAATGAGAAGAAGCTGCAGAGTTTCACTCAATCTGGACGTTTTTTATCTGGAAACCTTTTAATCTGAAAAACCTGAATTTATTTTCACTGTTGTGGGAAAGACTTTGATGAACTTTCTGGATTTACTCTGAAGAATCTCCTTTAATTTCAGCTTCACTGCAGAATTAACAGGTTGCTACATGCAGGAGGACCGATTACTACCCTGTCAAAGGCTTTTCATTTGAAATGCTACAGTTTTACAGTTGATGTTTTTCTTCAATTTAAGTGGGAAATAAACGTCTTTCTTCTGTTTTTGGCAACATTATTAATATATTGCTAAGCTAACAGTGGATGTGTTTGGTTCTGATATCATGAGACGTTTCATGCATCAGGGGTCGTTCACCATCTAGCCAATCAGACGGGATGATTTCTTACGTTGACTGTCTGGGCGGCGAGGGGGCGGGGCCTGGAGCGTCGTCACACTGCTGGAACGGGGTCCTGACGAAGAGCGCGATGAGCTTCTTCCACGCAAGATGGCCGCCCTGCAGCCGAAAACAGAGGGCAGCCTGAGGCGGCGCCTGCTGAGCGCCAAGATCTACCAGCAGCAGAGCGCCATGTTGGGGCTGAACGCCAGGCCGGCGCCGCCTTCAGGTGACAGCAAGCCCCTCCCACCTCACCTTCAGGGAAACCCCTGGCACCTCCCACCGCGGCAGCATGTCCACCCTTCCCTCCCACTGGAGGCTCATGGGAAACTCTTCTTCTCCCCTGAATCCTGTGGGAAGACTCAGACCTCGCCCTGCAGGTGCCACGCCCCTCTTGCCCCATCCTCAGCCACGGCGCGGACCAGTTCCTGCCCCCGGCCCCAGAGCCCCGCCCCGGCTACGCCCTTCCTGCCCACAGCCTGTTGAGCGTCACAAACCCTCCAAAGGAACCAGAGGTGCCACCGCAGTACTGCTACCAGCCCACCAAGAGGCGCAAGACCCGATTTCTTTGGTTCCGACGCCGGCAGGGAAAAGCTGGAAGCAGGAAGCGTTGTCGACCACTCCGCTTCTCCAGAAAGGTACGGCCTCAACCTGACAATGTTCCCGTTTTACACCAGTTAGAGGAACCTGTACACGGCCAAAGAACATTCAGTACTTATTCTGGTTTCAGTTCACTGGATGCGTCTACATCTGCTAGCGTTGGTCACTAGGACCGAGTCTTGAAGGTCTGAATCGTTCTGTTCTTTATCCAGTGTGAAGTTGTCCCAGTTTGGTCCCAACCAGCAACCTTTGGTCCTGGTTTGGTTCTGGATGTCTCTGATGGACGGGCCCCGGTGCTTCAGGAGGGGCCCCGGTGCTTCAGGGGGGCCCCGTGCTTCAGGAGGGGCCCGGTGCTTCAGGAGGGGCCCCAGGAGGGGCCCGGTGCTTCAGGAGGGGCCCCGGTGCTTCAGGAGGGCCCGGTGCTTCAGGAGGGGCCCCGGTGCTTCAGGAGGGGCCCCGGTGCTTCAGGATCCCCTCCATCTTTGGGTCTCATCTCAGGATCGTCTCATGATATTTCCTCACTTCCCTACTTCAGTGGGAAATCTGAATTTTGAAAAGAGTTTATTGAAAGTTTGTTACATTATCATGATCACAGCAACGGTCTTGAAGACGATCTCACATTGGTTTGGTCTTGGATCTCTGATTGGTTGCTGCCTTCCTCAGAGTCTTTGGCCAACTGGTCTTGACTCCCAGTACCAGTCCAACCTCTTTTTTCCCTCGTGTTCGGATCGTTTTGTTGAAGATAACTTCATACTGAACAGTCACAGCAACTTTGCCAACCTGTGTTTGCATGACCTCAAACATTTGGTATAAACTCACCAAACGTCTTGATCCAAACTTGTGGCAGCTGGTCTGACCTGCAGCCACAAGCTGCCACAGGAAACGACATGAGAACCTCTGAGCGTCCTTCTCCACAAACAAAAATGGAGGCAAAGATTTTAGTGTTTGGAGGATTCTGTCTCTCTTTCTGTCTCTTCTCTCATCCATTTCTCTGCTAGCGCGTTAGCTTTGGTTGTATTTACCCAGAATGCTCTGCGCTGTGGCACGTTTCCTGCTTTTGGAGCGTTCTGCGTCCGCTTGGTGTTCATGTATTAAACCAGGCAGATCCACGA